AAGGGTCCATAGGTCCTCATATGGCTTGTTAACTGAGGGGTGTTACAGAGTATTTGTTAAATATAGCTAACGAAATATATATTGTGTGTTTGATTGGTCCAGACGCTACAATACCATAGAAAGTGCGCAAAGCGTACTCCATTTAACGCTAAAAAGCTCACCCATCTTCATCGCGATCTTACAAAGTTCCTTTACAATCAATGAAGCTCTCTAAACTGCATAATGAATCTCTTATTTATATCGCGTCTGCACTTAGTCATGAGATGATTCACAAGCATGCAAAACTGCACTTAAAGGCAGGGTATGTGATTTTTCAAAAACACTTTAGAAAACTGATTCGGGCCGTGCAGGATGAAGTGCAGTCCCATGTTGACTGCATCATCCACGGACCTGCTTGCTCGGTAAGCAATAAATAATAAAATACTTACAAAAATGTGAGGGGTGTACAATAGTTTCAATACTGTAATAAATGCTATGTCAGTTAGCACTGCATTGTTCATATACTTTATTTATTACCTGGAGATGACTTGACAAACACAAATAAACCATATATTGTCACAATCGTGTTTAATGTCTTCATGCTTCCAAGCGTTTCTGTTTTTCTGTGAAAACAACTGTTTTCTTACAGTGATAGCTGGACACTTTTGTCCATATTAGGAATTTCCTGGTAAGACTTTCTGCGCGTGAGCGCCCTCCGGCGTCGAGTATGATTGAAAAAACACACTGCACAGAGTGTTTAGCGCTCCGCGATGTTCATCTCGCCTTATTCTGGGTCCGAATAAAACATCAGATCATGCACAGACTATCCTGTCTCTTTGAATTTAAATCTGTATTTATTCACACTGGCTCTTGAAAACCTCCATGCGAACACACGTGCCCGAAAAAGTGCGGGGGACGAATTTACGTGATATTAAAAGGGGGGGGGGGGACACGTCTGGGGTGTACTCACTTCTGTGAGATACTGTATATGTCAAAAATCAAAATGGCTAATTTTTACTACTAATAATTGCTCATAGCTTGTCAATTAACTTTGCTTTAAAAAAGCTATTACATACTCTCAGATAACTAAAACACATTCAATTTCTTTTTTTTTTTTAAAGTAGAATTTCCCTGATTTGAACACTTTTACTGTAGACGAGAAGTTCTCTGGCCAATCCGAAACAAGCATTTGTGTGTTTCACTGGTTGCAAATCTTCTGCTTGACCTTGCATTAAGTCCGTGACATAGAGAGTGCACTGGCATATTTTCCATTGTAAATTTCCCTCAGTGTAACAGTGTTCAGCTAGGAGGAGGGGGGGAGAAGGAAAGATGACCCCTCCCCCTGCCGCCTAGCGGGCACTCTGTTCTCCATCACTCTCAGAACTCCAGTTGCATCATGGGGAGGGGGCGCTGGAGTGCTGCCCAACAACTCTGATTACTTCCAGACCTCGGTTACACATTTCAACACACTTAAACACAGACATTCCCATTGCACTCATACAGCAGACTATGAACACATGCGAATATACGCAATTCTTCATATTCATTCCAAATACTCATATAATTAAACTGTAGATCCATACCAGATGCAGTTTTGTATCTTTTTCTCACTTGTTAGCCAGGTAGTGGTCAAAATCACAAACAGATATCACAACAGTAAGTCGAGGAGAGAACCAATAGAAATGCTGTATCAAGCCTGATGCAATTGTTATTGTTAACTAAAACTATTAAAACTGTTTTTGGTGAATGAAATAAAATATAAATAAAAAAAAAACGTTAAAAATGCTATATAGAAATATTTAAAATAACTACTAAAAATGACAGAAGCACATAACAAATTGACTAAAACTTTAAATTTAAAACTGAAAGACTAAAAATAAAAGCCAATTCAAAATATAAATAATATTATAGTATAAAAATAATACTGAAAGCACTGGCCTGATGGGGATGCTTGAAACAGCAAGTACTCTTGGAAATGTCTTTATCTAGCTGTCTCTAATGTGTAAAATATGCATGGGAGTCTCACCATCTGTTTATGCCTGTAAACATCTTCTGACGTCTCCAAGCACTGTAAATGTTTACCTGAGTACTTCAAAATACATAGAGTCCCATAGTTAGTTACTGACCTTTAAGAAAAATATAGAGAGGGAAGAATCTTGCGGAGTAGTGTCATACGAGGAGAATGAGAGATTGAGAAAGACACAGGAGGAGGAGGAGGGGTGTGTGACCAATTAACTATTAAACACGGAGACATTTTCTAGAAGTTTGGAGTAACACGGAAAAGTGTGATCTCATATCACTCTGATCAGCAACACAGGAAGAAAACGAGAAACAGCGATAGAGAGAATGAAAAAGAGAGTTTTTAATAGACTCTGCTAAACATATGCCAGAAAATCAAAGTGCGAGAGAGAGAGAGAGAGAGAGAGAGAGAGAAAGTGGGCAAGAGATGTTATTCCTGTGGTGTGTCAGGTCTGAGTGATATTGCTGTACAGGAAGTTATTCAATGCCATTGTTTGTTTTGATATCTCTCTGAGGCCGTAAGCAAGCAAGGTTAGATCCACAGAACCTGCTAAGTGGCCGAATAAGACATGCCCACATCAAATAGTTGACCTCCATTTATAACCATAACCTCTGGGGAGTTTCAGATATGAAAGAGCACTATTGATGCAATGATAGCAAGTGGGCAGTAGTGGTTAGTTACTGTAACAGTACAGTAAGGGATTTATAAATGCAATTTTTAAGGGGAGGCTAAAAATACTGTGTATTACCATGAGTGAGCATTGCTGGCTTGGTGACTTGAACTCCATCAAGACGGCACATATTTCCATTGGGGTGTAAAGTAGTAACTCCAGCACTGTTGGTGATGACACAGTGGTGCGGTTGGATCCCTGGACCGTCAGCGGTGACATCCTGTGGCGACTCTGCATCCTCAAAACCAATTTGTGATATTTCTGTGATATAAAGTAAAAGACCTTAAAGACCTTAAAGCAGAGTTTCTTTAAGTGAGCATAATTATCTTAGTCGAATCAATTAATGAAAGAATGAATAAATGAATAAAAAAATAAAAAATAAAAATAAAATACACAAATGATTGAATAAAAGAATAAAAAATAAGTACATACATATTAAAATAAAATAAATAATTACATATATACATAAACATAATATAATATAAATATACAGATAAGTAAATTATACAAAAATGAACAAATTGAACAAAAAATGAACTGAATAATAAATAAATAAATAAATGAATATAAAATAAAAATAAAACACACAAATTATTGAATAAATTAATAAAATGAGTAAATACATATTAAATAAAATAAAATAAGTAAATAAAAAAATAATTACAAAAAATATAATATAAATATACAGATAAATAATAAAACAAACAAACAAATAAATAAAATAAATAGTCAGTTAATGGAATCCTTGGTTACAGACACAGTTCTTACCTGAGATCAGTTATGCAATTTACATCATGTTGTGTTATCATGATGATGACAGATGTTAGTCAATTTTATCACAGACACAAAGCTGCTCCTAAAATTGCTGTTTTGATTGTACTTTTCACAGAAGCACTGAAACAAAATGCTGTTATGTTGTCATCACATTACTGTACTGAATATACTGAATATACTACACCACTCTGGAAACCCCCATATTAAATAACTGGTATTAAACTCAGCGGATGGTGAGAGGGTCCATATTCAAACTCAAGTTTAGTTCAGACATCATGGCCTCAGTTTATGTGCTACATTATTCCAATCTAGCTGAATTTCCTGTGCAGTCTGGAAACTTTAATGGTCTCAGAGCAGCAAGGTTGCCATGAGGCTAAAATATAACACTACATATATGGCCCAGAAAAATATTTTCATGCTTTTTGCATAAACAAGTAAAACAAGTCTTATTACCTCTAATATTCAGATAATTTAAATATATATTCAAGACACACTCACCTTCAGTTAGAGGTATCAAAGTAATAAAGCCACCACTACCAAGACTGATCAAGTAGGGTGTGGCCGACCACACCTTCAGGCCACGCCCACTGTGAATTAAATCCAACAGGGTTTCCTGAGGATAACAGCAGGAGTTTCAAGCACTGTTTAAACTTTAAAGGGACAGTTCACCCTAAAATGAATAAAATAAAATCTCATTTACTCATTCTCATGTCATTCTAAACTCTCATATCATTCTTTTCTGATGAACAAACATTTAAAAGGTTTTGAAGAATGTTTGTAAGCATATAGTGATTATTATATTCTACTTTTGAGATTTTAATAGTAATGCTAACTGATAGCTTTCTCCAGGTATTATATAACTCCTAATACTGTACAAAGCTCTACACTTTCAAACTTAAGACAAGCTAAAAAAAATCTACAATTCAAATTATGTTTTTACTCATCTAACTCAGGTACTGCTGCAGTAAAACATATCATAACCCTTCTGAGTCATGAGAAGTGATTAAGTTTTATAGTTGCTGGAGTAGGTTTTTATTAGCCATTTAATGCAGCCTGAGAAAAAGACCCTTTACACTCTCACTGTTTTGGAAAATGGGTTTAGCGGATCTCCCATTCAGTCAGAATAAAATTAATTCACAGATCGCATACATATACACATAATCAGGGACAAAGTAGCAGTTTTAGAGAAAGGGAGGTTGTCTCAGTTTATGAGAGAAGGAGGACATGAAAAGATTGTGGGGGAATGTTTTCATAAGATCTTCTGTAACCAAGAAAGGGACAGACAGAGGGAAAAGGAAGAAAAGAGGCCAGGCTGAGAGTCATGAGGGAAAATACAAATAAATAACAGAGAAAGTAGCATGGTTAAAACGTTGAGGAGGCACAGGACTGGCAGCCAAAATTAACAAACACAGAAACCCCAAAAATCAGGCCAACCACCAGTCTGATTACTTAAAGGGATAGATCATCCATAAAATGCAACATCTGTCATTATTTATTTTCCCTCATGATGTTTTACAACTGTATGACTTTCTTTCTTCTTTGAAACACAAAGGGTGTGTTTTTTTAAGAGGGTCCGGGACACTTTAATATAATGAAAGTAAATGAGGACTGGGGCTGTCCAGCAAAAGCACCAATATTGTATAAAATATAAATATATGTAATACAAATATATGTAATATAAGAACTGTCCGAATGACCTGAAATATACAATGAAGTCAGACAATAGAATCCCCCAAAAGTGTAATGTTTATCTAGGTCTTCTTATAATTGTATTACAAAAAGCAGCCCTGCAGTTCTGCTCTGGGATATTTCAGCAAGGCTGTTCCTCTTGTTCTCCAGCTGGCTGTTTTTGGGGTGCTTCCTTTTGCTCCTTCGGGAGGAAGTGAGGATCAGAAACAGCTGAGAGCACTTGACTCCCTCTCACTTTCTCCCCAATAATAAAGAATAAACCCAAAGCTGATCTTGAACACCTATGTATTTGGAAGACTTGCATCACCTTAATAGGCTAAAAGAGGGGTGATTATCCTATGCCATGAGCTATTTGAGGAGCTATTTAAAAACGAGAAGCAGTCTGTTTATAATAATAGCCTGATTATAATCTTACCTCAGTGGAGATGCTCATTTCAGACCGGATCAGCAGTTCAGATCATATAAAGTCCTGTATATTTAAAGTCCACTCAAGCTTTAAACATCTCTGGTTCCTTATTTAATTATGATGCCGTTACATAGCTTACACTACATTTGACACACAGCTGAATAAACTGGAAAGAGAAATTTCTGTGCTTTCATTTTTAAATGTCCACAAGGGATGGACATATGCTTTGTAAACAGGAAAAAGGGATCAGCCCCTTCCCAAAAAAAATTCCTAAGAGATTTAAAACAGTCTGAAGTTATGACTCAAACGTCGTTGCACAATTTGTAGGCTACATTATTCAACTACGTGACAGTAGCCTAGTTTTAAGGCCGTGAGTAATATAGCATTTTAATACATTTAAAAACAAAGTATAGTCTTCTTCTTTAAAATATTATGCAAACACTTGACCTATTATTTTCTGACAGAAAAGAATCACGCTTTTAACCGAGAGATATGCAAAGATAAACTAAGCAGATTTAAAACAGAGAAATATTTACGCAAACAGAAATATCGCCACCTGCTGGTTATGCAGCGGCACATATCACATTCAAACGTTTATTTATATTTCACATAAGTCATATATTCTGTTCACACTGCCACTTTCTAAATTGAGATAAATAAACCACAAATTAAAAATAATAAAAAATAAAAAATGGCTAATTGTATAGGCTTTATCTAACTTAACATAGGAGGTCTGTGAGGATCGTGTAAATTCAAGACATATGACTATATACTAGTAGTACTACACTCTAAAAAATGCTGGGTTAAAAAGGGACAAACCCAGCGGTTGGGTTGTTTTGAACCCAACTGCTGGGTCAAAACAACCCAATAGCTGGATTTGTCCCTTTTTAACCAGCGCTGGGTTATATTTAACCCAGCATTTTTAAGAGTGTATATAATGCACTATATAACTATATAATGCACAAGACATATAATCATAGAACATTTTTTCGCATTAAAATGATTTTATTTACTGAGTTTGAAATTTTGAGGGTTAAGGTGTATAGTTGCATATTCCTCAAATGAGTTTAACGTTATTATTTAATCTACCATATGCCATGTATTTCAAGAGTGAGCTCTGAAATCTAGTTATTATAACAAGTCAGCACCATTTCAATTTATCGAATTAATACCAATCACCTGAAGCCATTAATCTGTGAGAGTTCAGGTGTGGCAGTTTCACATTTGTTGTGAAACCTCTGAATCACGGTACATTCCATCTCTACTCTATCTGCTGGGTGTGATTCAGATTCAAGTTCATTTCTCTTATTTTCTTTATCATCAGATGCCTGTGTATTCATCTCAGATGTGAATAGAGTTATGATAGCACCGGTTGGTGTTTGTGGCCTGGAATCATGTCTTTCTGCTGGTGTGTCAGGTGTAGAGGAATCACTAATAATAATGCATGTATATATCATACTGTTATCTGTTGGTGCATCGTTCTTGAAGCCGTCAGGATGTTCTTTGAGCGGTTTGGATGCTGCAAAATGTGTTGTGTTGGACGGAGCTCTGTGAATGTCTGTCTGTACTGATTCCAAACTGTTGCGCTTGGGTTCGTCTTGTCCTTGTCTCTCAAATAGGGGGATTTCTGCCAAAATGAATAAAGGATATTAGAGAGTATTGCATTCACAGCAGTATGAATGCACGAATGAGGATAATTATTTACCGGTGTTGTTGCTACATCTGATTCGTTTATTGATGTCTGAATGGCTGTGTACTGGTTGTTCACCTGAAAGAGACAATGTGCCTTAAGTAAAAGCTAAAGTAAAACTGCTTTTTATAATGTATTGTGCTATATTACACAAAATGTTTTATTTTATGTAACATATTATCATATTATATATGTATTATATTATATATTAATATTACCTATACATAAATATTGTGCAAAATGGTGAAATAAATTTATTATATACAAAAATTTTACACAAAATATATTATAATATTTTATAGATTATAATATGATAAATACTACATATATATTGTGTGAAAATATTAATTGTGTAATAAATTATTATAAATAATGTATTGCTATAATATGTAATATATACCGCTATCAAAATATACAGTATATTTAAAAATGTTATTATAATAAAGTAAAAGCTAAATGGAAATTGCTTTTCATATCATATTATTTCATGTAATATTACACAAAATATATTAGAACATTTTATGATATGTTATGATATCATATATGATAATATTACATATTTTGTGTAAACAATGCATAATAAAATATATATTATTTAAAATAATATATTGGTATATTATAAAAAAAAATAATAATAATTACCTCTCAATCTAAAACATCGCGACAGGGCTACAGATACAGTGATCAGAAATATGAAGACAGATGCAGCAGTTCCCCACCATGATCTCCTGCAGTCATGCTCATCATCATCTGAAAAAAATAAATAAAAATACATCGTATTATGAATTAACACTCAATATAGTCATTAAGTTAAATGACTGTGCCCATCTTTCAAAGACGTAAAGTATATATATATATATTTTTTTTTTGACATTAAGTTAATCTCACCAGTCACGCGAACTGTAATATTAACGTGAGTTTGGACTTGATGTCTCATCTGGAAGCCATAGAATGTGCAAATATATGCACCGCTGTGTCCTAAGCTGTCTGGGTTCAACAGATGAAGGGAACCATTGCCTAAGTGAGCCTGATCTATGTCGAGTTCAGCTTTACTTTCCCACAGGTTCGCGGTCCGCCGGGTCCGGCTGTCGTAAGTGAAGATGACGATGGATTCTGTGGTTCTGATGAAGGTCCAAGTGAGGGTAAAATTGTGGCAAGGTTGTGTCACCATGCAGGGAACCAGGAGTCCAGAGCCCTCCTCGCCAAATAACTTATCTGAAAGATTCAAATCATTCAAAAGAGCTTTTTAAAAATTGTAACAAACACCTTTCTTGACAGTCTGTGTATCAGTAAGCAGAGTTGGGCAAGTTACTTCCAAAATGAAATACATTATATATTACTTATTACTGCCTTTTGAAAGTAATTAGTTATATTACAATATAACTAATTATAAAAAAACAAACAAAAAAAACACTCTTCACATGAACAAATATGAGCTTGGCCCGAGCTCAGGCTGAACGACACGGATTGTACTGATGATTTTAATTACCAGTGTATCTATATTTGGTTGACTGTATTCTGATAATGAATGGCTGCAATGTTTGCAATGCTGTATGTTTGTGCGTGAGGCGCCGGCGTGATCGAACAGCGGAAACATAAAATACTCCATAATTTTTGGTCATACAGATCCTTCGAAACTGCAATGTGTTTACTTTTATTTTAGGATGCGCTTGTTATCTCGGTTTCCTTTCAGTGAACTTTTGCAGAGCGCCGCTCCACAAAAATGAACCAAAAACTCAGCAGCATATTTTACTCAGTCTTTTTTCTTTCGTTTTGTTAATCTGTTAATTATTTGAGTCAAATATATTTCGCGTATTAATTCCTTTTATATGTAGACTATGATTTAATAAAAACAGATTGTTATTTTTAGTTAAACTTAATGTGTTGCTCGTCCGCCGCATTCTTTCTCTTCTCAGACCCCGCAGTATGCCCATCTCACAAATGTAGAATCCGTCTCAGTCATCTCAACCATCGAATTACAGCAACAGGAAATAGACAACGTATTTTACCCGAGGAATTTATTGCCTGGTGCTGTTTTGCGGTGTTGCTAAATAAATTCACCACTTAATTTTGAGTTAAAATATGTTGT